TAAATATGAAAAATCTCTGGTTATAAAAGACCAGTTATATAAGTTACTCAAATTATTTTTTGAGAATAATGTTATAGAAAAGGATATTGCGTACTATTTTTTGTAATAATTTTGTTATGCGGATTTCAAGAATAACAATATGAACATGAAATATACGACAACAAATGTACGTGGTTCACAAATGTTGTGTTGGCTATGTCCACGGGGAAGAGGGAAAGCAGTTTTATTATGGAGAGGCAAGAACAGAATACAGTTTAAGGTTTGTGATAGCACCTATATATATATATATAGCGCTAGACCCTCGTTCTCTTTGCTGTAACGAGTCAGATTCAAAGCATTACAATAAATTTGAAAAACTAAAACTAGACGAATATCATTATATTATTTTTTTGTAATAATTTAAAAAATGAAACTGGACAAATACTACTCCATTCGCTCCAAAATATTTGCAACATTTACTTTTTCAGTAGTCGTGGGTACTTTTGTTTATTTCTACGTTTTAATTGGTTATTTGATAAAATAAAATATTCTTGACACCTCTTATTTCGAAAAACTTTTCATGTAGTTTTTTGATATGTAAATTTATTTTTTATTTCTATATCAATATGTAAATAAAATAAATTGAAAAAGTTTAATATCTTATCTCGAGAATACAAGTGTGACAAATATTTAGGGGAGGAGGAAGTATTTTATAGAAGGGAGAAAGAGTGTGATATGACAACTTGAAACAAAAGGGGTTGAAACAACAAGCTGAATTGACGGTCATTCCAGATTTGAATTGACCACTTGAATTAACAACGCGTATCCCTATTGATATTTGTGCAGAGATACTATTTACTAATTACTACTCCTATATAGTACGGACTATATATAACTTCCTTAATGGTGATTAATTACTAGGGTGTTTAGTCCCCAGTGAGACTAAAATCACTTTCTGGTTTGGGTAATTTGTGTTCTGTTGTGTTGTGACCACACGTTATTCATTGGACCCAAGCCATAATATGATTACCACTTTAAAACCCTTTTGTGAACTGTCTAAACACGACTTGAGACTTGACTTCACATCTTATCAACCCATGATCTTTAATACTCCCCTGTCCCAAAATATTTACAACATTTGTTTTTTCAGCAGTCGCGAGAACTTTTGTTTATTTCTACGTTTTCATTGATTATTTGATAAAATAAAATATTCTTGACACCTCTTATTTCGAAGAACTTTTCATGTAGTTTTTTTATATGTAAATTTTATTTTTTATTTCTATACCAATATTTAAATAAAATGAATTGAAAAAACTTGATATTTTACCTCGGAAATACAAGTGTGGCAAATGTTTAGGAAAAATATATGGCAAATACATTTCATGCTTTGAAAAATAATCAAAAGGAAAATTCTATTTGTACCCCAGTTTATATTCAAAAAGTTTGTCCTGACGTAAAATATAATCTTAAAACTTGTATTATGTCAGTGTTGCACTTACATTTTGTGTTATGACAAAATTGTGATCTACAAAATAGAGTACAAAATGGGGTGAGAGTAGCACAACGTTAATCAAAATGTAAAAAACTGTATAGTTAAAATTGAATAGCTTAGTAAAGAAATGTTTTGAGCTGCATTTTCATTTCTTGAAAAGAAAATGCAAAGTATGTGGAATTTGTATTGAGACAGATGGAAAAAATGTTTTTTCTTCTTTCTTTATTTATTTTCATTAATTACAGAGTATTTGTTGAAATAACATAGTTGAATATCTTATCTCTTGTTTTATAAAACATGTCGTAGTTTTTTGTATATTAACTTCATTTTAAATTTTGTAAAATTATTGAAACAGATTGAATTAAAAATAAATTCAGTCTAATCTAGTTAGCCAACAGATGAGGATAGTTTAGTTTTAGGTTGGAGGGAGTACACATATTTTTGGGTTAATTACCATTTGAGTCATCTAACTGGCATATTTCTTTACGGCAATTTGTTTTGGAATAAATGACGCATTAAAATCAAATTATTAGTTATTACACTAATTTCCATATGGTTCAAATATATTGGAGTGCCATAAAATTAATACAATTGTTCCTCTAATCTCATCTTCTCAAAGATTTCAATAATGTATATTAACAGTAAGGTATCATTCACTGTTTATAAATGTCCAAGAGATCAGAATGTGACGTGAAATTTAAATTGACCCAAAGTTAATTTATAAAAAATAAAGGTGATATTAAATCCACAAACATTTTGCTTATAGTCACTTATACGTCACACCAATGATACCAAGGTTATTATGCAAAGTATATATAAGAACTTCAAGAGTTAAATCATATCTCCACGATATATCCAATTTTCTCAATCCCGTCATATAGACAAAATCATATTACACATTTGGGATTTGGCTAAGAGCAATTGGTTAAAAGTAAAATTATGGTTCATAACAACATAGTGAAAGCTTTATCTAATAACAAGTCAAATGATGAAATGTTTGCCTTTTTGTTGTGATGATTGGTCAGATGATTGGTCTTATATAATTAATTATTGTAAATTCTAAATTATTCTAGAGTTAAGTCACAATTAATTATTGTAAATTATAATATGTTTCACTCTTGGCATAAATTACTAGAGATCTGTCTTTAATTTGTTTCATGTTGTGCGAATAAAAGGGAAAAAAGTAATTAAAAAAAAAGTGCAGAACTATTACGACATGTCACAACGCCCAATGGCTAGCTAGCCAAATTGGCTTTGCAAGACATGTTACATGCCTCAATTTAAATGCAGTAGGGAAAAAAAATGTAACACTTTTAAATTTTCAAATGTAAGAAAAAAGGGGGGGGGGGGGGGNGTGTGGATCTCGTCTAATTTTTTTCTTAAAAATATATTCAAATCAAAATCATTTAAAATAAAATCATTAAATACATATTTCATTAAATTAAAAATTAAAAATACATTGACATAATACGAAAAAAAGAAATCAGAGCAATATGAGAGATGACGAAAAAAATAGCTACTTGATTTTTGCATTCAAGTCGCAGTATTTAGAGGAGATGGCGTCGACGTGGCGTAGAGATCCACGTTTATAATCCTGTGAAATTTAATAGTGACCCTACCCCAAAAGTCGCCCGTATTTTGGACAGTCCCTAATGCGCAATAAAACATAAAAAATTGTTACAAAATTTGATAAAATTTCTGTGTAAAAATATATGGGGAAAAAATTAAATAACCTCTAATTAGATCTTTAGAAACGTTCACCCACGTCCGGGCCGACACTTCCTCCTCCCTTAGCCTTCACACTTGCTTTATCCCACAACCCGTCGACCCTACATGGCATACAACCTTCCCCTTGGATTTTCTGGATGGCTGCATTTTGAGAAAGCTCTCAAAGTTCTCAACATCATTCTCTGGGATGGATGTGATCAGGGCTGCCGATCCTGGAAGTTTTTGAAAATTTTTTGAAGATTGTCTTTGCCACTCGAGGATTGCAAATTGAAAGAATCCATAATATGATTTTTTTTAAAAAAATTAGAGAGATGAAAGAATTTGTATATGAAAGGTGTAGAAAGAAAATGCCAATTTTAAAAAGGGGTGAGAAGTGCTTAAATAATGGTTTAAAAATAATTAATTTTTAAATAAAATTGTTGTTGCAACGGCTAGTGGGAGGAGGGAAGCATGCGCGATCACCGCGATGAGCATCACCACCATCACGGTCACGCCATAAGGGGCGGTGTTCCACGGCCATCACAAGTTGAGGTGGTGCCACATGGCCATTATCGCTCACCAGAGAACCACCATATCGATAGGCCTAAGAGCATTTACAATGGGGAGCTTTTCCGCTCTGCCCCAACTTTTGTCACATCAACATACTCCTAATTTTCAACCTTGCTCTAAAATCTTACAACATTATCACCCTAAAAACTTGACTATCTATTTCTTTTATGTCATTCGTCATTTATAATTCAAAACTTATATAAATTTAATGCAAACATTTATTTTCTGCTAAAAAAGATGAATAATTTTTTAAAAAAACTAAAAAAGATTCTAACAATTAAAAATTTAAAATAAGCGAATACTCCCTCTGTTCTAAAATGTTCTTTCCATTTCTGTTTACGAGGTTTGACCGATTTTATTTTCATTTCAATTTATTTGATTGTAGATGTAAAATTAAATATAAAATTTATATATTCAAAAAGAAAATCAAAAATTTTACAAAATAAGATGTGACAAGACTATATTATTTTATAAAATAACTAACGAAAATAGGCTAAGAAAGTGAATAAAATTTAACCGTGTAAGTAATAACTGGAAAGAACGTTTTAGGACCGAAGGGGTACGAAAAATTTAACAAACTTAAAATTACAAAAAATAAATGTAGTGCTTGGAATTTATTGAGTTGGAAAATAGAGGGGGGGGGGGCGGCGCAACAGACCGCTGCAAATTCTGCAATGGACGGCCGCCGTGATTTTCCGCTGGGAATTCAGCCAGCTCAGTGCCCGGCTGAAACGCACTCCTCCTGCAGTGGGCTTCCCAATTGCAAATGCTCTTATACTCTCTCCCTCTCAAATACGGAGTAAAGTGTACACTTTCATTTATGACTGAAAACATTTTCTCTTTTCTAATGGGTGTTTCAAAATTGCATTTTGATCAACGTTATTCTTCTTTCCAATTGAAAAAAAAAATAAAACAACATAGCTAGGTACCTGGACTTTTTTCTCGGCCAAGAACACCTCCTTATGGTCGTGGGTGCACCACAATAATAATAAAAAAATACAACACAATATAATGCATCAACTATGTTGCAGTAGGAGAGTCAAGATAAATGCACCATTATCCTTGTAAAACAGCAGAAAAAATGTTTTTTTGTTAGACTTATGATGAATTGATGCATTTATCACCCAAACTTCATTGAGACTAGAGAGTACTATAAGCAAAAGAGAACTCTAATTTGTCATTTTGAAGTATTTATTAGAAGCTAAAACATTGTTTGAAAAGTGACAACTATTGGCAATGGAAACGACAATAACGAAATCAGGAGCATGTATTTATGGGATGCACTCTGTTCCAATGACACTAAACTAAACCACAGATCTCACATTCATATTACAGTTCAAAAGTGTCACATATTCACAAACTCATACTATGCTTTGTATCACTATCACCAGACAATTGAAGAGAGAATGAAAAAAAAAAAGAAGCAATGGTCAATTCAGTACAAGCAAAAATGAAAATATAAGTCAGTTTATGATGTATGGCTATACTCACTGCTCTTTGTCAGTTTGTAGGTATGTTTAAGTCCTGAAATGTTCTGTAGGATCGATCATACCTCTGAATCTGTAACTCTAAGGAGAAAGTCCTGAAATGTATTGCGAATGTCGTGCGCCTTTGTTCCACCAGAAATTGAGACAATTGGCGATGGGCCCACCTCCGTGTAAGATGAGGTATACGACAAAAGCAATGTATGCGGCATTCACAGCACAGACGAGGAGCACAAACAGCAACCCGTTGACTTCCGAGACGAAGAAGTCAACCAACAGGTACCCGTTTATAACCATCACCAGGATTGCAACCGTCCATGCAACTCTCTACCGTCATACAAAACATTGATGCATAAAGAAATTAAGCACTTGTCTATATGAATAGCAAAAATCAAGTAGTATTGAGCAAATGCTAAATCTCACTCTCTTTCCATGAGTTTTTTGGTCAATTGTTACATAAGAATGTAATAAATCGTGATCGCTCACCTCAAGAAAAGGCCCAATCTTGAATGATCCCATCACCTCTTCCTTAGAGACCAACGTGAGAAGCGGGACGAGAGCAAACGGGATTTGAACAGACTGCAACACATTGAGCCATTCGTTTAGCACATCCAGCGATGACTCGGTTCTATGGAAAACCAAGGCTACAACTATTGTAGGCAATATGGCAAAGCTCCTAGTAATCAAAGCCCTCATCCATTTCTTCAACCGAAGATCAAGAAAACCCCCCATGATAAATTGCCCTGCATAAGTCCCGGTTATGGTACTACTCTGTCCCGCTGCCAGTAACCCAATCCCCCAAATATAGAGGATTGGGAACACCCCACCACCATACTTCTCTTGAAGGTACTCTCCTGCATTGACTAGCCCTATACTACCAGCCTGTTTACTCCCGTAGAATCCCTTGGCAAACACAGTGGTGACAAACAAGTTGATCATGAAAGAGACTAAAAGGGCAGCAGACGATTCAATAGTAAAATAATTCAACGCCTCCTGGACTTGACCTCTTTTCTTGGGATTAATCTCCCTTGACTGTACCAAAGCTGAATGCAAAAACACATTGTGAGGCATTATTACACAACCCACTACTCCAACAGCCTGGCGAATGGTTCTTGAGCTAAGTTTAGGAATCAAAAGACCTGTCATGTGAAGGAAAATGAATCATTTTAAGGGTGTAAGAATCAAAGTACTAGAACGTCTAATAACATAAACACCACCCTCACACACGCACGCACACACAGACAATCTAAATACGCAATATTTAGGTAAACCAACAGAAGAAATTGCAGTGTAAAATATACCGAGTAGCTAAAATTTATGATTTCAAATAGTTTTAACTTGGTGAAATAACTCTTTTCCATGGAGATATATATATAGCTTAGGGAGCAATTAAAATACAAAAATGACCTGTTAAAAGCTCCTTTCCACTAGGTCTGGTGTCTCCAAACATCCCCGCGAAAGCCAGAGCCATAGTCGAAATAAAGATGGCGAAAACAGCTTCAAGCTTTCTCACTCCATAGTTCTCCAATACCAAGATTATAAAACTGTCAAGAAAGTAACTTCCCAACTATTAAAAACTGGCCAAATACTGCATTGCAATTAGTACAATAAACTTTCCTAATCATTATCACATTCAAGAGAGTTGCTCTACAGCACCTTAACTATCCAATATGATTGAAACTGTAACAATAAACACGAGATCACTCTGTAAGAATTTTTTACTAGTTATTATGCAATTAGTACAATAAACCTAATTTTAAGAATGCTTACCAATCAGAAGCTGTGATTACAACGCCCGCCCAGAGTGGAATAACCCCGCGGCTGAGAATCTTAATGGCGATGGCACTACCAATGACCTCCTGAATATCAGCTCCAATCAGGGCAACCTCCGCCATGAACCAGAGCAAAAGCCCGGCCCAGTAAGGATATTCCTCCCTGCAGAGCTCGGCCAAGTGCCGGCCAGTGGCGACACCGACTCTGGCCGAGAGAAGCTGGATCAGCAGGCCCATTCCCGTGGCCCACATCAGCAGCCACAAGAGCGAGTAGCCGGCGATTGCTCCCGATTGCAGATCCCCCTCGAGATTCCCCGGATCCAGAAACGCGATGCTCATCAAGAACCCAGGCCCAGTGAACCGCCATAGCTGCCTCCACGAAAAGGGCGGGACAGCGCTGCAATCGACGCCATCGGCAGCCTCCGATTCGATATCGACGGCCGCCAATTTCTCCCGCGATTCATACTCGATTCCAACTTCTTCTTTCCGTTCTTTCCCCTCCTCCGACGGTGGCGGAGGGGATGTTGGAGATGATAGGAGGCTCCGGTGCTCTTCGTCTTTGGAATTCAAGGGCGTAGATTCATCTGATGGAGCCGAGTTCATTATATCATCGTATCACTCAGCTGAATTTTACCTGGAACCTCTTTGTCCTCTTTTAGAAGGAATAAGGTTTATAGCGTCCGGCGGTGGTTGCCGTGGAAAGCCGGTAATCTCTAAAACTCCGGTCGAGTGTCGCGCCCGTGGATCTCAGGTACCGGTGGCGTTTCACAAACGAGCTACGATATACTGCGGCAAACAAATGTTTCCAAATGGTATTTCTACCAATGCAAAATGGACACGTATGACCGGGGCTCCTACAGCGTGGAACCAGAAATGGTAGAGTCAAGGTAGGGCTACTCCCAGTTGAGCAGCTCAGTTGGTCAAGAACGTAAAATCTTGGATTGATGACCAGGAATCGAGTCTCTCGCAAGGGCAGTGTTGGAGCTATTCAAAAATCGCATAAAGGGTGAGGAGCTCCTTGTGCACAGTGGACACAGGTCTAACATTTTTGGCCGTCTAAGTCACCATGATTTACTTTCTTCACCATCCCTGGCCCGCCAGTGATGGGGCGCTTGGGGTGGGCGATTCCACCTTTTGGACCGATGGTAGGGCTACTGCCCCATTTGTACACCAACAATATTGACTATACAATCTCTATTTATTTTTTATTTTTTATTGACATCAATTGGATAACCAATGGATACATTTGGCATATACTTTTTGGTATATCCCTAATATTTTTCATGGTATTATGCCAATTTTTTAATAAAAATGTTAGAGATACACCAAAATGTGTACTCGAGTCTACCCTAAAACATCTCCATGCACAACTAAGGGGGCATTTGGTTCGGGGGTAAGGGAAACGAGAAAGGAAAGGGAATGGATTCCCTGATTCCATTTGTTGTTTGTTTAAAAAAAAGTTCATTGCGTTTCTTCATTTTTCAGTTTTGGATTACCACTTTTCCTCTCTTTCGATTCCCCACTCCGTATCAGGGTTTCCCATTTCCATTCCCCTCTTCCCCTTCCCTAACCCTTCTTCCCCTTCCTTAGCCCTTCTTCCCCGTCCATCTCTTCCCCAATCCGCACCTCTCTTTCATCACCTTCATCATGCGCAACACGTCTGTTTCTTCCCCCTCTCTCTCCAGCTCCCAATCCTTCTGCTCCAATTCCTCCCCTCCCACTCTGATTTCCTTTCTCGAACCAAACAGACAAGGTAATTCAGGGGTAAGCATTCTCTTTCCCCCTGATTCCCTTTTCTGTTTCCTTTCCCTTTCCTCAACACGAACATATTTAGTCCCTACATATCAAATAGCAACAATTTAGTCCTCAATTATTTTATTGTTTTCCACGAATGGTTCTTTGTTAATATTTCCGTTAAAAACATGGATAAAATTGTAAATTCATGTTCCTGGCTCTCTCTCCTCAATTACGCTTCCATTCCTCCTTGCTCACGCATTCCTTTCCCAAACTTGTTGCTAAGTTCGAAGCTCTAAACCCAAAACCAAAATGATCACTCCTCTCTCAAGTGTTTATCTTCCTGGTGGATCCTAAATTCGAAACCAATAACATTCGTGGATGAGTTTTATGGGTTAATTTCAGGAAATTGTAAAGAAAACAAGCCCTAAAACTCATCTAGGAAGGTTACTGGTTTCGATTTTGGATTCGAAGACGAACAATTGAGAGATGAGTGATGATTTTGGTTTTGAGTTCAAAGATTCAATTTCAGCGACGAGTTTGGATAAGGAGTGCAAGAGAAGGGAGGAAGCTTAATTGAGAAGAGAGAGGAGCATGAATTTACAATTTTATATACGTTCTTAACGAAAATGTTAACAAAAGACCATTCGTGAAAAACAATATATTAATTGAGGACTAAATTGTTGATATTTGATATGTATGGATTAAATATGTAAAACGAACTATAATTGGGGATGTTTTATGAAATTTACTCTTATTTAAATATCGATAAAGTTGAGGTATTTTGTTATTAATTTGTTTTATCATCTAAATTTAGAGTAAGTTTTCAAATTTGTTATTTCTATTAGAGTAATTTTTCAAAATGACCTTTTCGAATTAAGGAAGTGTATCTAATTCAAACTTTAAAATATTTTGACAAATTTTTACTAATAATTCACGAGTTATGTATTATTAAGGGTTATTTTAATTCTATATGAAATTGTATAGAATTGGCCATTTTGAAAATTTTACTTTAAGTCAAGATGATAAAAATATCAAAATAGCTCCCAATTAATTACACCATTAAATGACTTTAGTCTTCTTATAAAATACTGTGTAAATCTCAATTGTAAATTAATTTACAGGTAATCAAAATTTACCGAGGATTATTTAGAAAAATACTCGGTGCCTGCCATTTTGTGAATTTACTACATGACCCCATTTCTGCCGAAGTGCCGATCTCCGTCGTCACCTTTCTTGAACGGCGGCCTAATACCGCCAAAACCCACCCCTGGCTAGCTGTACTCCGATCCATCATACATATCATCCCACGTACGTATGTAATAACTTTATTTCCACACTCAAACTTACAGCCTATTTAATTTATGAAAAATTATCTCAAATAATCCCACCTTTTCGCGCTCTTTAAAAAATAATCCCACTTTTCACTGTCACCGAAAATAATCCCACCTTTTCGCATGTGTGCGAGTTTTGGGTCACCGTTAAAAAACTAACGGTCACTTAACGGAAATTTTGAAAAATGCCCGTTTTTCGCAAATAAATAAAAGGTGGGATTATTTTAGGTAAATTCTCCCTTTTTCGTTTTTTAATTTCTTTAAATGTATTTTTATTTTATTTTTTTTGGAAAAAATACCAAATTTAAGTGTTTTTAGAGTGAAACTAATTGTTTTTTTCAATAACCAATAATATGGTAATAATTAGAAAATAAATTATTCTACACAATAGAGCTAATTTATTATATTCATAACTAACTACTCCCTCCGTTTGGAAAAAGTGTTCCTCTTTTGACTTTGTGTAAAAAATAAGGTAGTATTAAATTGTAGTTGACTTCCAATTTTGCCCTTGATGTGATAGGTAAAAGTAAGATGTGATGAATAGATTATTAGAGATAAAGTGTGATGTGATAGGTAGGGTATGAAAAAGTAAGGGTAAAAGTGGTTTTTTAATAGAAAGTGGAAGTATTTTGTTGGAAGGAAAAAAATGAAAGAGAAAGTGTTTTTGATAACGGAGGGAGTACATTTTTTTGTAAGTTGCATTTACTGTATTTTTCTTGAGCTGCACTTCAAATTATTTTTTGATACTACATTATTATTATTTCTTAAAAAAATGGCACTACAAAACTTATGAATATTTTTCGATAGTTCTATATAAATATTTTTTGTGAAACAACATTACAATAGTTGTGAAAATAACACAACAATTTTTTTCTCTAAAATAGAACTTTTATTTTTATAACTCACTACATTTTCTGATGTATTGCAATTTTTCCATGAA